GAGGCAGCCCTGAGTGCTGAATGGAGAATGCTGAAACAGGATTCAGGACTCATGGAGGCAATTCGTAACTGGTTATGTCGTTCTGAGACTGCATCTCTCCCAAAAATGTAAATTGTCCCCTTTGTAAAATGAGATTAATAATGGACAAGCCTGTGAAAGAACGAATAGTTAATAATTTATCACATGTTAGCGCTCCGTAATAAAAGTTTCAAAATGAAATGCAGATATTCATCCAAAAGTATACTGACTTAAAAATTTAACAGAATTCTCAGTATTTACTATGTGCCCCAAACCATTTACTCACTCTCAGCAACAATAGTGTGAGATAGGTTGTCCACTATCACCACCTTCCCCATGTTATAGAAACCAGAGAAAGAAGTGAAGGTACAGGACCACGGCTAGACAGCTCATTAGTGACAGTCAGGCGTCCAGTCCTGGCGGCTTGGTGCTAGAGTCCAGGTACTATGCAATCACTAAATTGCTTATTCACTTCTGATTGGGTCACTTCCTTGCTCAAAAGCTTCAGTGGCTCTTGATGCCTAAAGTAACACGCACCACTCACCAGCTTAGCAGTCAAGACCCTCCATCTACCTTTCTTCCCCGTTTTGTTCCCTATGAAAATCCTTCATCTGTCCTTCCGGGCTCCAGCTGCATTGGACCATTCACACCTCCCTGAATGGATCCCGTGCGTCCCCGCCTCTCCGCTTTGCCTTAGACAATCTCTGTATCTGGAGCTCACCCGTTCTCACCGCACTGCCCCTCCCCCAACCTTCCACGTCCTACCTTTCCCTTCAACGCTCTTCTCAAGTGTCCTCCATACATCTTCTCCTGCACCCGTCCACCCCAGCTGCTTGTGATTTCCCACAGAACTTTATCTCTTCTCCCCTCTCTGGACGGCTCAGTTCCTGGCTTTTGTGGCGGTTGTTTCTGCATGTGCTGTCGTCCCTCCCTGGTAAAGGACGTGCTCCTTGAGTGAGGGCTGCACTGCGCTTTCTCATAGAGCTCTTCCATTTTTTATTACAAATTTAAATCATTACTTAAATCCTTTTTCTCATAACCAAATGTATGCATACTTATTGCCCCAAATGCAACATTACAGAAATACATCTCTTAAAAAGTGAGATCCACGGTTACAGCCCCTCTTTCTTTGCCCTGAGAAAACTGTGATTAGCAGGTTGGAGTGTAGCCTTCTAGACTTCTTTTGTGGAGTAAGCATGTATAGTTTTTATGTACAGAAATGGGTTTATACTATAGACAGCTTTGTACCCTTTTTCCACTTAAAATATTATATATATTTACTGTTTGTAATTAAATCACATGATTTAAAAATATTATTTGATTTTGCACCTTTATTATATTTTTTCCTATACCATTTATTCCCCCTATACCACCCTCTTCCACCGCCACCCACTCCCCTTCCCCACAATAATTTTTTAAAAGCATAGTATAAGATTGTATGAGTGTACCAATATTTACCTGTTAAATCCCTTAATGATCATGAGTTTCAACTCACCACTATAAACAATGCTCCTGGGAATACCTGTGTATATAGCCCATATACATACATACACACACTCCATATATACACATATACTCCATATGTACTCCATATGTACTGCATATATCGCCAGGTGATTTTCTGTAGCACATAGCTTTGGACGTGAAATTGCTAGGTGAAGTGGAATGGATATTGTAAATGATAATGATCATAAAAAATGTGGAGGGGAAAGAGTTTTGATTTATATCTTTCTGTATCATTCACAAACTCAGCGGCTAAGAGAGTAGACTCTGGCACCAGGATGCATAGGTCTGGATCTAGGTTTGGTCTCTGTGTCTCAGTTGCCTCATCTATAAAATGGGGCAATAGGAATAACTTGCTCCCAGTGTTGTAAGAGTTAGATGAATAATATGCGTAAAGAAATTAGCATTTAGTAAGTATTTGGCAAATAAATAAATGCAAGATATATGGGAGAAAACATGGTAACAAGTTCAGATAATAGGTTGTTGAATAAATAGGACTGAATAGAACAATAGTAGTTTGAGTAATCTTTCTGGAAATGGATGCTGCTTTGCTATTGAAACCAGTAGTGACTGGTTTCAATAAAATGACCAGCTAGCATCAGAGGTGCAGTATGTGGCCTTGGAGAAATTTATCTTTGTGTAAAGTTAATTAGCCTGAACCAGGATCGACCAATGACCTTGGTGTCTTCAGTCCCACACTTTCCCCAACAGAACTGGCAGCCTGGTACCTTATATAATGGGTCTCTCTGAGGACAGAGAACAATGCAGTTCCCTGAAGGGAACCCTGGCTTACCATTGAAGGTTATTAGATGAGTTACCGGGCCATTAATGTGAAGTAATAAAAGTGCATGAATGGCTAGAGTACAGTAAAAGGCTTTCTGGTTAGATTCTTAGGTTCTGGGCCAGAAGTCTCATCTTCACGGAAAAGTTTCTATACCAATACTGGAAGATTCTGAGGGTAGTCAATGCTGGCTTCTAGAACCAGCTTTGCCAATAACTAGCTGCAAAACCTTGAGGACACTTGAACCTCCTCTTGCGTTGATACAATGAGGGGACTTAAATAGCTTATGTGAAAGGCCCTTTTTAGGACATTCCTTTCCCCACAGGCAGAGTCACATTTTCAGGCATCAGGGCTGTTTATTGTACTGAAAAAAAAATGCATAAAATCAGGCAATGGAAATACTTTCAAAGTGTGTCAGTCATGAGATGGAAACGCTCTGCAGGAGGGCACAGAAGCAATTCACAGGCCCTCCGTGGTGCCCACTGCAGGAAGAGGTGGGGAGGGGTGGTCCTCGGAGGAAGAAGCACCGGGAAATCCAGGGGTAGGCTAGCTGGGGCCAGGTCCTAGCCAGGGTCTCAGGTGAAAGAAAATGGGGCTCCCCGTGAAGTGTGAGCATTGCTCCACGTGCGCTGAGGACCCTCCCCGCAGCCTAACATGTTCTTGCTCCCCAACACCGGAGTCAAACTGAACCCATCTTCTTCAGCTGTTTCAAAGCCCATCTCCTTGAGAACCCAACTCGGCGCCACACAGAGACATCTTTCTCCTCTAAAGGCTGACAGTAACCACTCTCTGTGCCATCTATTTCCTGGGCACTTCCAGGAGGAACACAAGGCTGCGGAGACCTCCTGGGAACAGTCATACCCTCTCAGCGAGACCCAGGCCGCTGGCTCCTCTCGGCCTCCTAGGCGTCCAAGACAGTAGTGCCCAGGAAATATTTGTGGCTCTGTGATGGAGTGACTCAGGCCAGCTCCGCGGGGAGTAGAATTTTATGGGTTTTAATGTGAACCATACCATGAAATCTGAGATTTCACCTCACTGCTTGCACTGGAAACCACCAGTTCCCTTCAGATTTGCGTGGAGCTGGGTGGAATTTGGTTCCTTTTCACCCTGAAAACCATAATCTAATTTTTAAATTCAAAAAACCATTTCCATAGCATCCACTTCATTTTTGACAGCAATCTAAGCACTACAAATGTTAACTCACTTCCTCTCCTTGAGAACTCAGATGCAGAAACCGAGGCACCCAAAGACAAGTCACTCACCCAGGGATCAAAGTGGCAGAGCTGGGATTCAAACCCAGGCCACCTGGTTCTAGAGAACACGCTCTTCAGCATGCTGTGCTGCCTGAAATTTATGAGTGGCAAAAACCTTCATGAACAGAAAAAAAAATTGACGTTGATGTATTTATTTCAAAGGAAATGTTTTTTTTCTCTCTTTCTTGTGTCCCCCTTTCCTTCCTCCTTCAAAGCAAAATGTTCTAGAGCAAACAGCCCTTTTCACACCTGAGAGAGCCAGGGCTCATTTTTGCTTTGGCAATCAAAATGGAAGAGGAAACGTGTGTGGTTTCACCACCGGTGCTTTCGGGGTGTGTGCTGCCGGCGCGGGCTCCCTGTCCCCAGACGTTGCTGCCTCAGGTCCCGGAGACTTTTCAACTGTCTGCCTTCGCCCTGCGCTACCGGAATGCGGGGCAGCCTTTCCGCCCCTCTCGCATATCCAGTCCCTGTCCTAGAGCCCCAGGGACCTTCTTTTGCCCTCCGCGCTCTCCCTCCAAGTCCGGTCGCACTCGGACCTTATTCACTGCATTTGCAGCCGGATCCCTGGAAACCGCGTCTCCCGACCTTCCCTTCCAGGCTGCATCCAATTCACTTCTGCGTCGGATGTTGACAGCCCGACTGGATGCACGTTTGCATGTCTATCGCCTCCCGTGGGAGGCCCGCGTCAGAACCCGACCGACCTGCCATTGATTAGCTGTGGGACCCAGGGCACATGACTCCAGTCCCCAGTCTCGGTTTCCTCATCGTGGACGGGACGGATACGCACAGGGCTGCAGTGGATGTTGCACGAGATAACGCGGGCGCTGGGCCGGCTCTCAGTAGTTCTCTTAGGTTCCCCTTGGCAATATTTACTTCGTGCACGCTCTTCTGTTTCCCATTTTCCCAGGGCACCCTCCCGCTCCGAGGGCAGGAAGGGCGTCTTTGCGCCACACTCTGAAAACGTCCCTAGATCCCGCGTTAGGACGTCTGGCCCCCACGGGGCTCTGGGGGCAATTCCAAGGGAGAGTCTGCTCTGCTTCTTCCGACCCTAACCCTAAGCCTGCAGTCCCAGGAAGGCAAGGGCTCAGGATGCGAGGGAGGCCCGCCCGAAGTCGCTGGGTGGGGCTTTGGGAAGAGGGAGTAGGGATCAGGGGAAGCCCGTGCTCCGACTCGCCTCCCTCCTTCGAGGATGCCCTCGGCCTCGGGCCCCTTCCCCACCCCGGACACCTGCTGCCGGGGCGGGCGTCCGGGGCAGGGCCTCCCTCCGCGGCCCGGGTCCCACCTGCGCCGCGGCAGGCGCCGGCCAGGGGGTCGGGGCCGCCTTCCGGGCGCCCGCCCCGCCCCCTCCGCGCAACCCGCCGCGCCCGGCCGTGCCCCCTCCCACCCCGCGGCGCCCCGGCACCCCTCTCCTCCCCCAGCGGGCTCGGCGGAGCATTGTACTCACATCCGGGGCTGGGTTTTGCTTTAAGGCGAAACGTAATTAACCCGGAAAAAAGAGCCGAGAGACAAGAGAAAAGGAGGGGGCGGGGTGGGGGGAGAGGAGCGAGAGGAGCGAGAGGCACCGAGAGTTTGGCAGCGAGATAAAGAAATCCCCCGAGAGCGCCGGCCCCGCGGGCCGGAGGGGCGCGTCCTACCCCGATGTGACACACGCACCCTGCCCGAGCCCCGGCCCCTGCGCGGCGGGGTAAGTTGGGTGCCCTCGCGAGTCCAGGAGTGGAGAGGCGCGGAGCGGTGCGCGGGGGCAGGCGCGGACTGGGGGGCTGGGGGCGCGCCTGCCCTGGTGGCCCAGGGCCAAGGGGGCGGTCGCAGCAGCCCCTGGCCTCCTCTCCTAGCCCTGGGAAAGCCTGGTGGGCAGCCCCTCCTCCAACCCTCTGGAGCGTCCGGGGTGGCCAAGGTCGCCACCGTCAGGGGTCGGGCCGTGGGGGTGGGGCCGCGGGGAGGGTTGGGGCGGGTGTTCTGCTGAGCTGCATTTTCTCACGTTTGCAGCGGCGAAACTTCTTTGCGGGTTCTGGCGCTGGGGCAGCAGCCCCGCAACAACTGCCCGAGCTGCGGGTTGGGCAGGAGAACAGAGACCGTCCAGGCAAGTCCCTGGGGCATGCATTGGGCCGTGGAGACGCCTCTCTCTCTTTCCCTATTACGTTATTACAGAGCAGGCCTGGTATGCTTTCGTAGGGAGATCCCTTTCTTTTCTCTGGGTCCAGCCCGGGCCCTTGGGCTTCTGGGACTCCAGGCTATGGGCCTTACTTGAAGGAAAACTGTCCTAAAATGCATATTCGGTGCCAGGTTGGGAAAGCACCTCGAGGCGAGCTGTCTGTCTGTCTCTCTCACCAACTTCTTTCTCACTTTACTTGCTTCCCTTTTCTGCTCCAGCTCTCCAATTCTGAAGACTGTTATTTCACCAGATTAAAAAAAAAAAAAGAGGAAAGGGAAAAAAGAGGCCTTGTAGGAAGGAAAAGTGTCCAGGCATGTCCTCCACTTTAAGTCTTACATATCTCCTCCCCCAGGCCAGCCCTGCCCCCCAGCCTTTCAGCTTAAGGTTTCCTTCCTTCTTGACGAGTGTGGGTTCAAGCTGTGTCTTCCCCTTCTAATTCCTCCCGTCCCTCCTCCTTTCTTTCTTTCTTTAGGACTCCAAATGGGGCTTTTCAGAGGAGAGTACACAGAGCAGAGCAGAGGGGCGGGGGAAACTTCTGCCAGGATACCAGCTGTGGCTCTTGGAGGCACCTCGGCCCACTTGTACTTGGGCTGAAGTCCCAAAATTGTACTCAGTGTTGTTTTTAACATATCTAAGTCAGTCCCCCTTTTCCTCTTTTCTGAAGCTTTATTATTTTTCTTTGTCCAGTGGCAAAGCCTTCAGAAATAGTAAAGCCAAAGATCTTGAAAGAATAGAAATGTTTGTTTCCGATCTTATTTATATTCAATTGACATATATTGGATAATAAGGACAAGAAGGACAGTGATAAATAAAATGCAGCCTCTGTCTTTAGGGAGCTTCCAGTCTAGGAAGCTAAACAGCTTCCTAGAACACAAAGCTATTTGCTTAAATAGAGACCCAGCATGCTTTGAGAAACCAGAGGAGGCTTTTTAAAAGCGTTATGATCGTTTCAGGTATTAGCCGCCTCCATTGTGTGCCACTTGAAGGCAGGTGAATTTTGTCATAGTGAAAGTCTAGCTTGTAGTCTAGACTCTGTGGCCAGCCCAATGTATGACATCTACTAAGTGGTGAGTAAATGTTTGTTGAATGAATGAATGAGAGATTGCAAGCATGTGAATTGTTTGCATCTGTCCAATGGAAGGGCAAAGAGCAGTGTGGCAGTGCCTCCAGCCTGTAGAAATTCAGTCCATCCAGCTGGCTCATGAGGGTTCACTCTGGGTGTTGCCTTTACACTTAAGTGATTTTCTGCCCTATTTGTAAGCCCCACTTTTTGCAAAGTGTGGCGCTTCTCGTGGAGCTCTAGCTACTGATGATGGGAGCCTCGCTTGCTTCAGAGATGGGTAATCACCTAGGCATTGACTTGGAAACCACCTGCCCTTTGGTGGAGAGTTTGTAAAACCTTCTTTTCCTTTGTTGGTGCTTTCTTCTCTCTTCTGTATAAGGAAGTAGGGCCTGCAAATCCCTTGTTATCAGAGTGAGCTGAACCGTATTTAGCACAGATTTTACCAAGGTTAAAATAAATCCTGAAGACACGTAGGTTTTGGTTTGTGTCTACTTACGGATTTTGCAAAAGTGGGAAGGGAGATGCATCAACCCTGTTAGCCAGGTCCTCCCCAACAGCCCCTGCCGGCTTGCATGGTGTTGCTGAAGTGCTGGAACACTAGGAGGACCCAAGCAGCAGTTGCTCGGTCTTCATTGTGCACATCCAGCTGGCACTTCATTGATTTCCTGGCTTCTTCATGGGGTGGGTAAACAGGTGAGTGAGGCCCCTGTTAAGAGGCTGGAATGCCTCCCTCATATTAGCTCTTGCTGTGGGCCATGGTGCAGTAAATATCTTTTGGTTCCCTGAACCTACTAGACACTATTCATTCTGACTGATGTAATCCTAGAGCATGGAAAAGAGGATGTGGGTGCTGGGACTTTGGGCTGCTCTGTTGCCCCACTGTGAGCAGGTTTGGTTGCCTTTCAGTTTTCCATCTGTCTTAGTGAGCTGGGGAGGACTCCGGCAATCTAATCTGTTTGGCTTTGGAAGGGAAGGAAGCAGAGCAAATATTATGGTTTGACAGCCTATGGGAAGAGAAGAATCCTAGCCCTGCCCAATATAAGCCCATCATTGAGCCTGGGAATTGGGCAGGGTGGGCAGATAGGGTGGCTGAGAGGTAGGAGGGATGGGGTCCCTTCCTTCCCCTTCTGAGGAGCCTGCGCTTGGTGCAGTGGGACTGTAACTGACCTTTATTCAAGTCTTGGGTTACTCTGTTCTTCTCTCCTCTGGCCTGGTCAATCTTTTGGGCTTTACAATTTATCTTCTTTCCGAAAGCCTCTTGTCTGCTCTGACCCCTGTTGACTGAACGTACCTGCGGAGGATTACAGGGTGGGTTGGGCTCTCTCACCTTGGAGGTCTCAGCCCTGCTGGTGCAGAAGCTCCTGACACTACTGCCTGAAGTGGGCAGAAGGCTTTCGGCTTAGGGCCTGTGGTGTGCTTTTCTGCCCACAGAGGTCGGCCAGCAGAGATAAAGGGGTGGGAAGCTAGATCTGCTTGTCCTTACACTCCTGGGAAACACTACAGTTCAAGTGCAAAGGCTAGTACTCGCTGTCCCATCAGCTAGGACTCAGATGTGGCCACCCACTTGCAAAGTGGCTCTCGGCTATTGTGCTTCTCCTTGGGGCGGAGCAGGAGGCAGCCCCAGCACCCCTTCCCTGGAACCAATAGGCTTGGCTGGCTTCTGTTAACTGTCAGGGGAGTCTGGCCAAGATGGAGCCTGTGGAGCTCTTGGATTTTTTTTTAACCTCTTGGAGAATTTTAGAGATGTAAAATATGATGGGTCTTGGAGTAGAGGCCAGAGTAAGGCACATTTATATCTTTCTTTGTGGGGGAGGCCAGTGTCATGGCCTTTTCACTGATACTGTTGATATTTGAGGGTAGAGATGGCCGCCGCCGCTCCTGCCCTGAACAGCTCTGGGGTGTCGTGGTAATCACATACTTACTTGTTAGTCACCCCCCCCCCCCCACTACACACACACACAAACATCCTAACAGCAGCATTTGCCTGGTGCTTACTCCTCATCAGACATCCTGGTAAGCACTTTTTACCTATTATTTATTTCACTTAATCCCCACGAGCAGCCTTTGAAGTAGGTACAGTGATTCTCTCGGTTTTGCAAACGAGGAAACAGGCCCCGAGGAGTTCAGTTCGGTTCAGCAGAGTCTGACTAAAACCCAGCCTCTTTCACTTCACTCTACCACATCAAGGGGTAACTGAAAATCAGCACGCCCTTTTTCATGGTCATCTGCTTGCAGGAGTTTCATCAAACGCACTCATACTGATCGCCACACCCAGCCTCTCCGCCTTCCCTGAGCTCGGGGCTGCGGGCACAGGCCTGCAGACAGACGCACTTCCACTGTTCTCGGGCACCTTCCAAAGGGCTAGTAGAGAGGAGAGACGGCGATGTCTGCTTTTCATCTTCCTTCTGCCCACATTTTAGTGGCTGACACTGTCAAGTTTTAAAGGAAGATTTTAACTCTGGGACTCCTGGGTGGTGACTGCTAGGGAGCCCCACCGAGAAACTGAATTCGTTGAGTCTTCTTAGTGGGGGGAATTGGACGATTCTGCAGGCTGGAGATCTCAGTCTTTACAGGCTGTTTAGAAAACCAACATGGCAGCTCACCGGCCCTGGTGGTCCTGCCGATGGAGGTGGCTTGTTAAGGAGCCTTGGGCCACGCAGGCCTTTGTTTCCTACTGGTTCCAGCAAACACATTTTCTCCGAACAGAGATGAGGCTGCTGTGTTAAGGCAGGTCATGAGTGTTTAAAATGTTTTGTTGTTCTTAGCATTTTTATCGCAGTGGTATTAATGTTCCATTACTTCTGCCATTTCCTCCCCATTTTTTCCCCCTTAAAAATTCTTTGAGTGTCTCTTGCCCTCCATTCAAAGTTCTTGGGTCCAGTGGGGATTGGGCTGTCCGAGTCAAGAAGGCTCCTTTTCTGAACTTCCCCATTCCTGTAGATGTTTGCATTCCTCGGCCTGAACTTCCGTTGGGAACATGTTCTCAGTACATTCTCTTCTCTCTCACATTGCTCTCCTGCCTGCAACTATTTGGAGTGCGCTCTGATGACATTTTCAAAATGCAGTGATGTTATAACAGGAGAAAATAGATGCTCCCACACTTCCTAAGTTATCATCTTTGGCCCATTCTCAGGGATGTGTTCTGAAATAGCTGAGCTGGTGTTTGGTTGTTGTTCTTGTGATTTTCGTGGGGCCCTTGGCATTGCTGAGGCTCCACAAGACACATCTCTGTGTGCTGCAGTTTAACGTAGGTGAGTGTTCCGTCACGAGGCCCGTGCACATTCTAGCAAGAGATGAGTGTCTATTCTTAACCTCCACACCCCAGTCTGTCTCTGCCATGTTCTAGTCCCCGCCGAGACCGCTGAGGTCATTTCCTGATAAACTTTCTCCTGTAGAAATTCAGCAGTTTCCTGTTGGTATCCCTGTCACTCACCGCCAGTGCTGGATGCCGCTGTCCCCAGCCCTCGCT